TAACCACCTGGCTCTGTGAAGCTAAGAGTTTGGGCAAGGCAAATAGAAATGTCCTTTATATGCCATCGTTAAATGAATTGTCTTCATTTTTAGACTGCTGTGTTTTCAACAGAACTCTTACTATGTCCTCCGGTAGTGATAGTCAAATATGGAAACCAAATTGAGTATCAGTGGGCAAGAGTTCTGCCCCCCCCCACCCCCCACTCTAATTCATTCTGAGTCCTGTCTGGCCAGACTTGCTGCCAGGAAACAGGCCCTTGGATTCAATTTTGTGCTAAACCAGAGGTTGCAAACTGTGAACCTTTTTCTGCACAGAGATGTATTTGTCTGGTCTGCATTAAGCTCTGAATCAACTGACATCACTTACAACTAGACAGATGTTATAAGATTCAGAAGCTTTAGCCACACTTGTGCTTTAGCTGACTATCGGATGTCCCTTTTCAGATGGGGCATTTCCTTGCCAGCTGGCCATTGGACTGCTTGCGCTCATTTGCATCAGCTCCCTGGCCCTTTTAGGCTCTTGGATTTTTAACCCTTGCTTTAAGGGAACACGTGCCTCTGGTCCTGAGACCTGGCCCCTGCCTGCCCCTCCAAAAATAGGTGGTCAACTCTTGTCTAAAGGCCCATGTGGTTTCCCATATCAGGTTGCTGCTTTTATTAACAGCTGGAAACAGAAAATTAAATACTACTTTGTCTAAAGCAGATGGTGGGCTTTTTTGTCTTCTTTATACAGGGGGCTTTGTGCAAAGTTTCACTACAGATGCATACTTTCAAATTATTGCTGTTCTATTGAACGGTGGCTCTGTCAGGGCACAGGCATCCTTGCCTGAATTCACTGCCAATTGTAGTAACTCCATTGGAAGCGAAAGTGTATGGAGAAAAGAGAGTCAGGGAAAAGTTATTTCTTCTAATTTCCAATAGCAGTGGAATTTTTCCTTGCTTCTATAATAAATGGAAACAAAGAACATGGAACAGAACTGATATCATTTGCATCTGACTGATGTTTCTGAAAAAAAGCTGGTTAAGTTTTAGGTTGTCCTTGGGACGGAAGAATCGCTTTTGCATTCAAGCCTGGTACGCTTGGGACTGTAGAGAGTGAGCGTGAGTTGACTAGCCATGTGCGTGGTTTTCTACAATTTAGCTTGACTGCTGTGAAGTTATGTGTCGAACAAGGCAGCTACGATAGGAAATGTACGGGTGTCTCCCCGGAATCTCTTATTCATGTCCAGAGTTGACTGTGATTTAGGGTGTCACAGATTGTGTCCAAGAAGTTGAATTACCCAAGAGACCACCACATTCTCTGTTTATACCTACACTGTGGTCCTTTATTCCAGAGTCCTGAAGACCAGTATTTCAACAAGGGAAATCCAGAAAGGGTATGTTTGTAAGGGACACCTCTACTCTCAGCTTTCAGTCTCTGGGGAAAAAAGAGCCACAGAATAAGGGACACAAAGATGACCCAAGTCACAGGCAGTAGGAGTTTGTGTGGCATATTAAACCAAATTTGGAATCCCTTCTTCTCCCACATTCCCTCCAGAATCACAGTGGAATTTGAATTCACACAGCTTTACCTCCCTTGTCAGATTCAGGTAATGCCACTCAGATTTCTTATTTTCCTTGCTCAGGACTTGTACAGGAAGCTTGGGGCTGCTTGGGAGAGACATATTCCTATTAACAGGGTAGCTGGATTATTTGGCTCTTAGCAGATTTCAGAAAATGAGGCTAAGTTGTCCTTATTCATGTGCAACTTTTCAACAAGTCCAAACAGTTAACAACACAAAGTTACTGCCTACTGTTCTGAAAGCCTTGTCAGAGAGGTTCTCTCCCTGGCGTATTTAATTTGTGCCATTTACGTTTTGTTGTCATTTTCCTGTTTTTTTTTTCCCCTCCTTCTTTTTTTTTTCTTTTTCTTTTTTTTTTAATGAAACATCCCTGAGTGGTTACAGTGCAATATCTGTGCCAAGCAGTGATTGTCATTTACGAAGCAAGAAGTGAAACGTACAGATCATGGGTTCTTTCTTCCAGTGCCCGTTTTACCATGAAGGTGTGGTGAACATTTGGGAGTCTTTGTAGGGAAGGGACAGAGATTGCATGTGGTAAGGAAAGGCGATCTTAGCAAAATTTCAAAACACCTCGAGATGCAGTCACAGGAGATGTTCAAAAAGGCAGCTTTTCAAGGCGTTGGTCGCTACCACTGAAAATGTGATTGGTGGTCTTTTAACGGACAGATTTGGCAACTGTGGCGAAAGATGGAAATCTCTTTTCTCAACCGAAGTGGGCTGAGCGTGTACTCGTTTCCACTGTTTTGTTCTGGTTCAGTCGCTAGCTGTTTCCTGTCCCCTAGCTTCAAAAGGTTCATGCGGTCCCAGTGAAATGCTTGCACGAGTAGAAACGACAAACACATTCAAATCGAGTACCTCCTGAGGCAAATGTGGGGAGCAATCCTTTTCCTACATCACCCATGGGGCAGGGAGGAAAAAATTCTCAGCCACTTCATCAACAGAACCAATTTAAACCCCCTAAGGTAAATTGGAGGAAACAAACGATTCCCCTTGCAACTGAGCGGGAATTACAGGCGGACGATGGAAAACACTAGGCCAACAGAACAATGAAAACAAACTTTGACATAAGTTCAAAGCTCAAAGGGAAACACCAAGCAGACATGTTGAGCATTGCCTATCACAAGCCAATCATAAAACATACATTGCATTTGGAAACGGCTTGGTTTAATTGAGCGCCTTCCATTACCCTGTTTTCCTAGCAATCAGTAAAGTAATCTTTCCATTAGAAGGAAATATGACTCTTGGAATTAATTCTTTATACAAAGAGCTAGCAGGAGTGACATTTACACCAAAAAGAACTGAGTCTCTACAGCCACATAATAAGCAGTCTGCAGCTGTCTTCTTAGACACCGAAGGTAATTTGGTTCAATGTAGTTAAATTAATTGAATATAACAGTAGTTGAGAAAGAGAGTCATTATTTTAAAGCCTTTTTGTTTTTCCCCATTGGTTTAGCATTCATCAATCATGCGGTGGGAAAAGGCTCTGTTTTCTAGAGAAAAGACTAGCACTACTGTCTGATCATCAACGAGGGGTTTTGTGGCCTTGCGGAGACAGCTCTCAAGACTACGTAACTTCAGGAGAGCGTCAGAGATTAAAAGGAAATCAAGGTTTCCACCGATGGAAACTTTACCGAGCAGGTGTGCGTGTGTGTTTGACGAGGAGAAAAGGGCGGGTCCTCGGGAGCTGGCTGCTGGGCTTTACTCACAGGAGAGCTTGAATGTCACTGAGTTACATGAGGCTCTGCTCCGGCTTCCTTTTTAAAAACTCTTAATTTTGGATCGGCTAAGACCAAAGGCATAGGGCCTCTGGAGCACAGGCAGAACAAGCTGCTTGGGATTTATGCTTTTCTGGTATTCAGTTTGCTTGGGGAGCAGGTGGAGAGGTGAGACTTATACTAGGAAGTCTTAATACTCCAAGCCTCATATCCCCTCTTGTATTCTGTGTTTTTGACAAGTTGCTAAAAGAAAGAATCCCAGGCCAGATGGATGATCTAATTGCAAACTGCATAGGAAATAGTTTGGGCTTTGGGGTGTATTAGTTCTACGGAATAACTCCGATGTGTTTTCGTTATCTGTCAAGTTCTTGCTCTGTGTTTATAGTACAGCACTTTGGAGTTGAGAGAAATTAGAGGACCCCCCTCCCCACTAGAAGGACATATCAAATCCTGCCTCCCCTTTTATTGCTGCTTTTTCTAACAAATGTAGCAAAGAGAGTGAATATAAAGAACCAAGCTCTTTCTGCCTCTTCGTTGCCAAAAAAAGCCCCCCAAAACAAAAAAAAAACCCTCAAAAAACAAAAAATATCAAACCCAGACACAACAGGTTAGAGAAAAAATGTCTACATGAAATGGCATCGGGGCCCTGGGTTCTGGTTTCCTCTGTGACTCTAATTTTATTAGAAAAAAATTGCTGGTGGTCAAACCTACAGACTGCATTTCTCTGGTGACAACACAGTGAGCACCAAAATCAGTTTCTTTATCCACCTGAAATCCAAAGGAAAAAAAAAAAGTGTTTTATGTGTCCTGGTGAAAAATAGGAAATAGTGATTGGTCAAAAAAGTCCTGGACTCCACAACGTTATCTGTGGCCGAATTCTTAAAACAGGAAAATGGCTCCAAATATTCCCCCTACCCCCCCACCCGCCGATATTTACCATCCTGACAAGGCTTTGATGTCACTGATAGAAACAGAGTTCTTATACAGAGGCCGCGCATTATATTTATTCCTTTGTAGACGTTATCTCTGAATTGGTACCATCCTGCCATCGACGATAGTTGAAGATTCTGGCTGGGAAAACAAAATCCTGATTGTCTAACATAAAGGTAACATATAACACAGAAGGTAAATAATATAAGAGAGCCTGACTGAACCTCCTTTGTTAGTATGTATGGGATTTTAGGTCACAGTGCATGTGCATGTATAAGTAATAGTCATATATAATATTCTCAGATATTATATGCTTATTACATACATGCACAGTGCTTTCCAAGACAGCTACAAATTTACACATGCATCAGCTATCTAAAAACATAGAAATAGGTAAGCCTATTAAGTGGAATTTTCTTAAATTATATTTGAACAATTAACAGGAAAAGTAATCATGTAAAGTACCGCTCTGTTCTTTACGTATCTACAATAAAATTCTATAAACAGTTGTCTCCCAAAACATACCTGAATAAAATAAAATTAAAAAAAAAAAGATAACACCCAGTGTCCTATATTTGTATATTTATGGTCATTTCAAAAACAAACAAATAAAAGAGCCCCACTCAGGTGCGTATTTACATTCTTCAAACTGTAGCGGTGAAAAATAATTCTATTAAGTGCAGGACATTCCTAATGTTGCAGTAGTGACATTTTTCTTAAGTCTTCATGAACACATTGCTTTTGTCTTAATGGTGACGCATTCCACGACTAGGAGACAGTTCTCTCGTTGCCTTCATTTGCAGACGGTGGCACAGTCAGGATTAAAGAGCTCCTTGTACAATGGAGGAAAGAGTGTATTCACTATGTCTGGATGTGATTGTTTAAATACCTGCAGCTTCTCCCCGTGCAAGTTGCAGACCGCCGTGATGGTTGGTATCTTGGCTATTAACTGCGGAGTCGGGAGACCAGGGTCGGGTGTTGTG